AGTTCCAAAACATACTTCCAATAAACCAAAACATTTTCAATGTTTCACAACTTAAGACATATATAAAAGCTCTTAAGTTCAACAATAGTTCAAAATTTAAATACAGGATTACATATCAACAAACAAGTCCGGATACTTCTCACGGACTTCCAACTCACGTTCCCAAGTGGCTTCCTCCACTCCGTGATGTTTCCACAAGACTTTCACCAAAGGAATGGTCTTGCCACGCAGGACCTGATCCCGTCTATCCAAGACCCGAACCGGTCTCTCCTCATACGAGGCATCCTCGTCTACCTCTAAATCGGTCCAATCCAATACATGTGATGGATCTGGATCATACTTCCGAAGCATACTCACATGAAACGCGTCATGAACTCCGAACAACTGCGGCGGTAAAGCTAACCGATAAGCAACCTCGCCAACCCTCTCAAGGATCTCAAAAGGACCAATAAACCGAGGGGATAACTTCCCACTCTTCCCAAACCTCATCAAACCTCGCCTAGGTGATATCTTCAGAAAGACATGATCACCTACCTAGGCATATAAGCTCTACCCATATTCTCAACAGAGATGTATAACAACAATATCCACATTCACAGATAAGCATATGAGCTATATCCACATTTCACAACAGATATGTACAATAACAATATCCCACATTCAGATAAGCATATGAGCTATATCCACATTTCACAACAGATATGTACAATAACAATATCCCACATTCAGATAAGCATATGAGCTATATCCACATTTCACAACAGATATGTACAATAACAATATCCCACATTCAGATAAGCATATGAGCTATATCCACATTTCACAACAGATATGTACAATAACAATATCCCACATTCAGATAAGCATATGAGCTATATCCACATTTCACAACAGATATGTACAATAACAATATCCCACATTCAGATAAGCATATGAGCTATATCCACATTTCACAACAGATATGTACAATAACAATATCCCACATTCAGATAAGCATATGAGCTATATCCACATTTCACAACAGATATGTACAATAACAATATCCCACATTCAGATAAGCATATGAGCTATATCCACATTTCACAACAGATATGTACAATAACAATATCCCACATTCAGATAAGCATATGAGCTATATCCACATTTCACAACAGATATGTACAATAACAATATCCCACATTCAGATAAGCATATGAGCTATATCCACATTTCACAACAGATATGTACAATAACAATATCCCACATTCAGATAAGCATATGAGCTATATCCACATTTCACAACAGATATGTACAATAACAATATCCCACATTCAGATAAGCATATGAGCTATATCCACATTTCACAACAGATATGTACAATAACAATATCCCACATTCAGATAAGCATATGAGCTATATCCACATTTCACAACAGATATGTACAATAACAATATCCCACATTCAGATAAGCATATGAGCTATATCCACATTTCACAACAGATATGTACAATAACAATATCCCACATTCAGATAAGCATATGAGCTATATCCACATTTCACAACAGATATGTACAATAACAATATCCCACATTCAGATAAGCATATGAGCTATATCCACATTTCACAACAGATATGTACAATAACAATATCCCACATTCAGATAAGCATATGAGCTATATCCACATTTCACAACAGATATGTACAATAACAATATCCCACATTCAGATAAGCATATGAGCTATATCCACATTTCACAACAGATATGTACAATAACAATATCCCACATTCAGATAAGCATATGAGCTATATCCACATTTCACAACAGATATGTACAATAACAATATCCCACATTCAGATAAGCATATGAGCTATATCCACATTTCACAACAGATATGTACAATAACAATATCCCACATTCAGATAAGCATATGAGCTATATCCACATTTCACAACAGATATGTACAATAACAATATCCCACATTCAGATAAGCATATGAGCTATATCCACATTTCACAACAGATATGTACAATAACAATATCCCACATTCAGATAAGCATATGAGCTATATCCACATTTCACAACAGATATGTACAATAACAATATCCCACATTCAGATAAGCATATGAGCTATATCCACATTTCACAACAGATATGTACAATAACAATATCCCACATTCAGATAAGCATATGAGCTATATAAAGGTAACACAGAACATTAGCACATTTATAAATGTGCCGAAACTAAACACTCACGTTCTATGGTCAAACAAATCATCTATACGGGGCATAGGGTACTTATTCTTGACCGTAGCCCGATTCAACTTCCGGTAGTCTATACACAATCTCAAGGCACCGTCTTTTTTTTTAGCAAAGAGGGCAGGTGCTCCCCACGGTGAAACACTAGGGCGAACAAAACCCTTATCTAGCAATTCCTGGAGCTGAACTTTCAACTCAACCAACTCCACTGGAGCAAAACGGTAAGGTGCCATAGAAATCGGCGCCGTGCCGGGCACTAAATCAACAGAGAACTCTACCTCCCGATGAGGTGGCAAACTAACAAGATCCTCGGGAAAGACGTCCGAGTACTCACAAACTACCCTCGGCAAAACAACCTGGGTTTCATCACACTCACCACTCTCAAAGCTAGCAAGTAGACCACTAAGCTCACTTCGCCCTCGCGAATCATACCCCGGTGGTAAAACACAACCAACCCGGTCTCCCAAGAAATGGAACCACTCCCCGCTCAAGGTACATAACGTGACCCTCTGGCGGTAGCAATCGATAACAGCCCGGTATGACGATAACCAGTCCATACCCAAAATAACATCAAAACCCAAGCTGAAGTGTAACAATGCTTACCTTTGCATAGGCTGTTTTTGTGCTATATTTTCAATTATCCAGTGATGATCATCGTCATATGTATATGACCCAGATTTTCTTGTAAAAAAATAAATTTAAGTAAACAAGAATAAGAATATCAAGGTCATCAGATATTTGGGTTGCACTCTGACAGTGCTTTGAGGTTTACATTTGGAGCATTTCTTTTCATCTAGATGCTATATTCATTTTCTTTTTCATAAGCGTAGTAGATTTTAAGTTGCCTATCTTTTTTCACTAGACATCAAATGGTATCTTCTCTATTACAAATTACAAACAGAGAGATAATAAAATTATTTTCTTCTTTTATTGTTTGTTTAGTAGAAGTGTGCAATTGTGAGGTTATGCATTTCTGTGTTCAAACCAATTATCAACAATAAGTATGCACTTTAGAGAGAGAAATTTGTCACAAAAGGACGATGTATGGAAGTAGAGCATAAATGGTGTCTTTTTAACATAGTTTAGGTGCTGTGGGACATTGTTCTATATTTTGGGATCATTTTAGGTTATCTAATCACTCAAGTTCCAGCTAGACTTTTGTCTTGGGGTCATCCTTGGCTGTGGCCTGTGCTACTGCTTTGGCTGCCTTGGTTGTGGCCAGTGCTGCTGCCTTGGTTACGACCTGGGCTTCAACCTGTGCTGCTGCCTTGGCTGCGGCTTGTGCCACGGCCTATGCTGTGGCCTTTCCAGGTACCCCAGCCTTGGCCGCGCACATGCAAGTTAGGCCTTGGCCTTGGCAAGTGACGCAGCCTTGGTTGGAGCCTTGGCTTTGTGCATGCAAGCCAGGTTGCAGCCTTGGCAGTGCCGCAATCCAGGCTGAGCGCATCCAAGTGAGAACACGGCCTTGGCATGTGCCACCGCCTAGGCCACGCACTTGCAAGTGAGGCCGCAACCTTGCCAAGTGCCATAGCCTTGTTGCACGCATGCAAACAAGGACGCGGCCTTGTTGTGTGCCACGTGCGTGATAGCCCGAACTGCGGCGCTGACAATTACCGCAGCCTTGGCCACGGTGCAGGCCGCGCGCTTAATACCCAGGCCACAACCTTGCCAAGTGTCATAGCCCAAGCCATCGTGCAAATGAAAGACTTCGTTCAGCACGTGCTGTCGACGCATAACTTATCGTAAAGTGTTAGCATTCCGCTTAGGACATAGGAATTTTGTTTCGGTAAGCACGCAAATCGTTTTTTTGTGTCAAGTCACACACTTGGGCTATATTACTTGTTTCCCAGCCTCGGGGGCAATTGGTCACGAAAAGGGCGGGGAGGGACGAATCGGAGCGACGCAATGCTGAATCTCAATGGATCGTGGCAGCAAGGCCACTCTACCACTTACAATACCCCATCGCGTATTTAAGTCATCTGCAAAGGATTCTACCCGCCACTCTAGATAGGAATTGTACTTCAAGGCGGCCCGTACGACTCATCTGCCACGCGGGCTTCACCAATGACACGTACCTTTGGGGGCTGGATGCCCCCTACTGCGGGTTGGCAAGCGGGCGGCGAGCACGTGTGTCGCTTCTAGCCCGGATTTTGACTTAGAGGCATTCAGTCATAATCCAGCGCACGGTAGCTTCGTGCCACTGGCTTTTCAACCAAGCGTGATGACCAATTGTGCGAATCAACGGTTCCTCTCGCACTAGGTTGAATTACTATTGCGACACAGTCATCAGTAGGGTAAAACTAACCTATCTCACGACGGTCTAAACCCAGATCACGTTCCCTATTGGTGGGTAGAAAGTCTCGCGCGAGCGTGAAAATTTACGCTCATGCTATGTTATTGTAAATTGCTATTCGAGACCTAACTACAATTTCAATCAATATCAGCAAGCACAAATATGACCAACAACATTGATGATATGAGTTACAAAACTACATCTTTAAAAGGTTTAATTATGTTGTTTCCTTTCTCTCTCTCTCTCTCTCTCACACACACACACAATCAGTCAATCAATCAATGTGATATATTTTGAGCACATTTCACCTCACTGCCCAAGTGCAACAAAGGTGACCATTACAAGCTGAAGTGTAACAATGCTTACCTTTGCGTAGGCTGTTTTTGTGCTATATTTTCAATTATCCAGTGATGATCATTGTCATATGTATATGACCCAGATTTTCTTGTAAAAAAATAAATTTAAGTAAACAAGAATAAGAATATCAAGGTCATCAGATATTTGGGTTGCACTCTGACAGTGCTTTGAGGTTTACATTTGGAGCATTTCTTTTCATCTAGATGCTATATTCATTTTCTTTTTCATAAGCGTAGTAGATTTTAAGTTGCCTATCTTTTTTCACTAGACATCAAATGGTATCTTCTCTATTACAAATTACAAACAGAGAGATAATAAAATTATTTTCTTCTTTTATTGTTTGTTTAGTAGAAGTGTGCAATTGTGAGGTTATGCATTTCTATGTTCAAACCAATTATCAACAGTAAGTATGCACTTTAGAGAGAGAGAAATTTGTCACAAAAGGACGATGTATGGAAGTAGAGCATAAATGGTGTCTTTTTAACATAGTTTAGGTGCTGTGGGACATTGTTCTATATTTTGGGATCATTTTAGGTTATCTAATCACTCAAGTTCCAGCTAGACTTTTGTCTTGGGGTCATATTGGATATTGACAATCTCCTCTAAATGTATGCCATGCCTCATGCTACATTGTTTCTCCAAGATAACAACAATCAAAAGAGTAGTAAGAACAAATAAAAAAAGTAGCAATTAAATGTATAGCATCTAAGGACTCCAGTAAAGAAGGCCAAGCAAGCAAAAATAAAGACATGGTTTCAAGGAATAACCTACTAAGAACAAGTGCTACAACATTCTCCGAAACACAAACAAAAGGAAGCATGGACGACGCTGGTTGGTTTATTGGTAAATTGCTAATTAGTCTTATATTGTAGAGACTTCTTATTTTCATTATGCTCTTTAGTTAAGTACACTATGTTAATAGACGTTTGATGTACTCTTTTTCATTAATACGTATATAATCACAAGAAGCTTTCATAAAACATGCCACATGCAACATATGTGCACAAAAATTAGTATATATATATTTAGTTAAATTTTACATACCTTTTGGGAATGTTGTGGATCATAACTGTTGTGCGGTTGTCTTCCACTTGCATTATGCGAGTAATGTCAATTTGGTATTCTTCCATACATGAACTAGTTTCCTCGTTTTCAAAATCTGAAAGGTTGATATCAACTAAGCACACATGTTTTCATAAAAATAAAAAGGTAAAGTAACTTTTACCTCCTTGTAAAGGAATAATTCCAACTGAAACTGGTCTTGTGATTAAGAGTGGTGAGGCATCAGAAACATATCACTACCTAATGAATAGAAAAAAATCTAATTGGCAATAATCATACCGGGAAAACTTGTTGAGCTATTAGCAAAGCTGCTTTCTTGCACATATGGATCAGATCCATCTTGTATAAAATCTGAAATTTTAAAATCAGTTAAACATGCATGTTTTGAAAAAAAAATCCCGTAGTTTAGATAGTATGTTTTGAGTTGTCCTAATCACTAACCAAGGAGCTTAAAGATCCTAAACTAATGTAAATGACTTCAAGTTTAGATTATGTTTTGAGTTGTCCTATTCACTAATCAAGGAGCTTAAAGAACTTAGACTAATGTTCTTCACAATTTGATGTTAAGTCAGAAATGTTAATTAAGATTAGTGATAACGAAGTAGGATTAATTAGTCCTAATCAAGATTAATTAAACTAATTGGAGTGATTAAGATCTAACCTTGATTAATTAACACTAAGCTTGATTAGCTAAGCTAAGGAGAGAGGATTAGAGATTTGGTGAAGCATGCAAGAAGGGGAACCATCCACAAAGGAGGCGCATACACACACCACACCTAGGTTCCTTACACCTCCTACTCAGAAGATTAGGCTAGGTTGCACCCTTGAGAGACAAGTGTCTCTCTTCAATTATATATTAAAAAATTCAGCTTAGAGGAGAGAGAAATTGCTGGAAGTTTGAAAGCAAGAAAAGAGGTGACAGGAAGAAGAAAAGAGAAAGAAAAGGAAGAATAGGAATTTGAGCTTGAAGATCTTGAACCTTAGCACCCGAACCATTGAGTTGAAGTAAGTTCTTCACCATATCCTTTGTTTTGATCATCACGACTAGTAAAAGTTGGGGAAAGATTAAGTTATGGTGAAGTTAAAAGAGATTAGGGAGATGAGAATTCTTGATGAAAAACTATGTTTTGATCTTGTCACTTTGAAATAAATAATGTTTTCATGTTTTTCTACAAGTTTTGGATGTTTTACAATAAGTTTTCATAGTCCCAAGCCTTAGAAATGAGAAGAGAAGACCTTGCACAAGCTAGGAAATTAGAAATAGAACACAAGATTCAACATTGCATGAATCTGCACGTGCCCCAATAATCACCGCAATTGCGGCAAGGGTCCCCGCATGAAGAACCCAATAAACTGTTAAATGTGTAACTATTGAATTGTCCCAAACTATCACCTAGAACGACGACATGCGAAAATTAACATAATAGCAAATATTAGACTTATTAAATGTAAAACTATTGAAACCTGCTTTCTGCGCTTTAAGCCTAAAGTAAGTCTGCTCTGCCAAGTCATCCTTGCAACAATCTCTTACTGTGTCAAAAGCACGGCAAATTTCTACAGTAGTCTTCGATGTTGGTTGTAGCATCCAATCCCTGGCTCTTGTAGCCAAAAAATACGCAGCCTGATTTCCCTCTCTACGGATGTAATCAAACACGTATCTCTTGAACTCTTTAAGAAGCAATGTTCTGTAGGTACAAAAAATGCATTAGTGCAATGAAAAAAATATCATTTGAACAAATTTTAAATAAAAATAAATAAAGTAATAATTCCATACCTGTAGAGATCGTAATATTTCATTGGTAATTCGCCGCATTTAATAGCATTAACAATGAATGAGTTATCCAACCGTATTAATATCTTTGTGAACCCATATTGTCGAGCTACAATGAGGTTACATTCGACAGCTTTTAACTCAGCTTCGTAGCTGTCGCGTACACCTTTGAGTGGTATAGCATGCATAACTTTGATCGTACCCAAATGATCTCGGAAAACCACCCCCGCTGCCGCATAAACAATCCCACCTATCTTGATGAATGACGCATCTGAATTGATTTTAATCCAATCCATCGGAGGAGGAATCCAAACAACCCTACCAATTGGTTTTTCCAATAGTGGAGTATTAATCATACTCGACACCTTAATTGTCTTATTTTTAATAAATTTCTCAAAATGACAGTACTCATGCGGACCCAATTTCAAAAATATGTCCATATACTCCTTTACGAAAAGGCGTGTAAATAAAACTAAAAATGGAAGTTGAATAAAAATAAAAATAGAAGTTGAATAAAAATGCAAGTTGATTCAAGAAACCACTGATACTTTAACGCTCTATTTAGAAGTTGAGTTTTTATTCCGACTATTTTTCTATTGTTTTGGGGCTGTCAAAACTCTGTATGTTTGGGCTGAAGCTTGGGTTCTAAGGCCATTAAAGGTTGAGGGGTGTTCCACCCTTTTTTGGACCTTGTTTTGGAGGTCTTTCCCACCATTTTACTATCCTTTTCCAAGCTTTTAAACACTGATTTTCAGAGTTATTTCAGTGGCCAAAATCATGTTGTGAAGTCTAAATTTGGAGGGGTTAGCCTCCCTTCCTTGTATCTTGCTTACTAACCTAGTTTGTGCCATGTTTTAGCATATTAATCTAACTATTGTTAGCTCAATTCTAGCATGTTCTAGGACTGTATTAGACTTGTTTTAGTGCTGTTTTGGGCTGGTAGTTGCATTTGAGCTTTGTTTTGCATGCTTATAATGTAATAGTCCTCATGAGCTTGGTGTTCTAGGCCTTAGACACCTTCTCTTTTGAGTTGATAGCATTTATTTATGCTTTTCTCACTCATTTTCAGCACTTAATCATCTCTGCAACCTCCTTCCTTTCTTGGCTTTTGTTTTTCTTTGAAAGTGGTTCAAACAACTATTTGTTTAAAGCATGAGATTGAGGTGTCACGCTTAATGGTTTAATCCCTTAGGGGGTTCATTACCAACGGTATGATGTCTTTTTCATGCCTAAAACAACTTTTGATTTGAGCCTTCTTTCCATTAGAGGACTTAAACTCTTCCTTTGGACTCAATTTATTAAAGGATAAAAAGGTAACTAAAATGGAGTAACTAAAACTTGGAATTAAAAGTGAGCAAGATAATAATTTGGTTGTGTTCAATCAGACGTTAATTGAACACATGGAAGCTTGAACAATTTCAAACTCATTAGTGATGAAATGATTCAAGGTTTCAAGGTCACCACTTCCCTTGATCATTCATGAAAGGGAGGAGGTTTGTGTCTTGTTTTGCATTTATTGAACTTGCACACTTGGTTTCATAAGCCATTCTCCTATATAAGGAGCCCCTCACCATTTGTAATTAACAACATACATCAATCAATAATACATCATTTTTTACATGGTATCAGAGCAAGGTTAAGCACTTAGTATTTTTCGCTTCACCGGCAGGCGGCACCCTCGCCTTGGCCGCCCGCCGGACCTCAACCTAGTCCGCTAGAATTGTCTACACATACCTTCTTCACTATCTCTTCTTTGATGATTGCTTCACAAACAACTGATTTTCCACGCCCTCCAATCCAGTTCACTGCTGCTGGCTTCTTATCCGAGCAAAAGTTTCCAGAGATGCCAATGACATCCATGTCTGGGAAATCATTCTGAAGGAACTCAAGAATCTTCTTGACATTTTTTTTATCAAACAGCTCATTCTCTCTCTCTCTCTCTGTCCAGCGTTGACGAATTCACTTGTACCGGTACTCGTTGTTGCAGAGACGTTTACAGTTAATGAACAGTCATAATTAGCCCATCCGATCCGTTGGCCAGCCAGATCATAAACTACAATCTTGTCTTTCAGTACAAGGTCTCCTAAAATTGTTATCCCTTGGCCTTTAATTTTCTAGAATCCAATGCACCACACTGCAGCACCACCAATAGTAGTTTGCTGTAGAAGGTAGTCCTCGGGTTTGAGAATCATGGATGCACCACCAGCAAAGTTTACACTCACTGTTGGAAATATCATAGAGATGCTGGATGCGATTAGATAACACTGAATTCCTTGGGAAAGAAAAGGGCGTGCAGATTGTGAAACAGCGGTTATAATCTGCACAGATGAGCAGATCATAAATTTCAAGCATCCCACAAGTTCTTGTTAAAATTGAGAGAGGGAGCAGCTCCTCCCTTTGTGTTGGTGTGTGGATCTCTCTGTGTGTTCTCCGAGAGGGAGCGAACTGGGTGTGTTCTTGAGTGTGTTGGCCCCTTGTGTGCGTATCCCTCTTAGCCCCTGATCAGTGCCTTCTCCTCATCTTGATTATTTTTTATTGATCTCCTCCTTCAACCAAAGAGAGAACCCATCCTGGCAAGAGAGAGCACATGCATATGTGTGTTGTTTTTGTCTCTCCCATGTGACCCACTCTCCAATCTATACTTTTTCTTTTTTATTCTTTCCCCACACTCCTGTTCCCTACGATGCTCAGATTCTCCCACCTATATTTTTTCTTTTTCATTACACTCATGTTCCCCACTCCACTTTCTTTTCTTTTTTTTTTATATTTATTTTACTCCATCTTTTGAAAAGAAACCGAAACATCAATTGGTTTGCACACCCATTATCTTACTTTTCCATTAGTGGTAGGACCCGACCAAACAAATTTGAATCTCACATTTCCTTTTTATTTTTTTATTTTTTTTATTCCTTTCACATTCACACATTTCTCTTCAATTTTATTCATATACTTCTCTTCAAATTTATTTTTTTTTATTTTCCCAAAACAAAAACAAAAAAAAAATAAAAAATAAAAAAAATAAAAAAAAGAAGAAGCACTGCACACCAAACTCATTTTATTCCTGTTGGCGCTCACCCCCTGTTGGGGCTCACCCCGATCACCATGTTCCACCATACCACAAAAAAAAAAAAAAAAAAAAAAAAACACAAAAAAAAACCAACAACAACAAAGACCACCATCACAACCACAAAAGATTTGTCTTCTTTTCTGCAGACGGCCACCCACCGACCTCACTTCTTCGCCTCTTCAGCCGGTCTTTTCTTCTTGCCTCTGTCCAGGGTGGCCCTTGACGGTGCTGCCTCTGTGTTTCCCGCGCCGCCGAGCACGTTCACTCCCTCCTGCTCCTCCACTGCAGCATATGGCGGACCTCCAAATCGGAACATAACGGTGGCCTTTCGCTTCAGCTCCTTGTTTTCTGCCGAAAGAAAATAGATAAAAAATATTTATAGATGGATTATATGAAAAACTGCTCTGCAGTCGGTGCGACAAGTTTGTGACCGCCGTCATGGTTTCCACACATGACTTCAGAGTATACTGATTGGCCTCAATATCAGTTTGCACCGCCATTTTTTGCTCCACCGACCGCATCGGAAAGTTCAATGGAGCAAAACCAGAGGTGTTTGGTTGAGGTTCACTGGCCATCGCACCAGTTATTTCTCTTGTGGACTCGTTCAGTTCTGGAAAGAGCGTGAGCAGACCACGGGAAGAGGAGGCCATGTTCTGGGTAGCTGGACGGGAAGAAGAGGCCATGTTATGGGTTGCTGAGTGTTTCAGAGAAGGGTTGGTTACAGAGTGTTTACAGAGTGTTTCTGAATGCAAATATTCAGAGGTTTCAGACTGGTTTGCACAGCCTCCGCCTCAACCTTGGTTTAAATAGCCAGGGCAGATCCGCGCATCGCGCGCCACTTAACGCCAGACGACAAAACGGGCGCGCAAGCCCAGGTAATCACGCGCCTCGCCATAATGTCCGACACACCTTTTTATGGATTGGGCACGCCTTTTGATGGCACACCTTTTGATGGCACGCCTTTTTATAGATTGGGCACGCCTTTTGACAGATTGGGCATACCTTTTAAAGATGCAACTTTTTAGGGGTCCGACAAGACTCTGTAAACTGTCCCGACATTGATTCCGGTTAGCTCCTTCATGAGTCCGACAAGACTCTGTAAACTGTCCCGACATTGATTCCGGTTAGTTTCTACAAGGGTCCAGCAAGACTCCGTAAACTGTCACAACACTGTCTGCTACAACGGTCCGACATGACCCCATAAACTGTCTTCTACATCGGACCATTTTTTATTTTTTAGATTATTTTCTTGTTTTGTTACTCTCTCCAAACTCAAGTTGGTTAGTTCCTATCCCCCTTGAGTTTGCGGGGGGCTGTTAAAACCTACCATCACCTACTCCACCTACTACACCTACCACCACCTACTACCACCTACTACACACCTACCACTACCACCTACTACCACCTACTCCACTACATCTCCTATATAAGGAGCCCCTCACCATTTGTAATAAATAACATATATCAATCAATAATACATCAATTTCAACAATTCCTTTCTTGGCTTTTGTTTTGCTTTGAAAGTGGTTCAAACAACTATTTGTTTAAAGCATGAGATTGAGGTGTCATGCCTAAAACAACTTTCGATTTGAGCCTTCTTTTCATTAGAGGACTTAAACTCTCCCTTTGGACTCAATTTATTAAAGGATAAAAAGGTAACTAAAATGGAGTAACTAAAACTTGGAATTAAAAGTGAGCAAGATAATAATTTGGTTGTGTTCAATCAGACGTTAATTGAACACATGGAAGCTTGAACAATTTCAAACTCATTAGTGATGAAATGATTCAAGGTTTCAAGGTCACCACTTTCCTTGATCATTCATGAAAGGGAGGAGGTTTGTGTCTTGTTTTGCATTTATTGAACTTGCACACTTGGTTTCATAAGCCATCACGCAATGAAATTGCATCCATTTATGGTTTGCGAACCAAACTTGCTACTCTTTTGATTTGCTCATGAACATGATGGGTGAGTTCTACAAACAAACCCTTGAAAATACCCTGTATATGCTCTGTTTGTCCTCTATTGTAGCAAGGAGAACTAGGCAGTAGTGGCCGGCAGGCCATCACTAGAGGTCGGCAACCTTCGTCACTGGCTGGCCGGCCATTGATGCAAAATTCAGCAGTGTGTTTCTGAAGCAGAGCAGAGTTATTTTAGAAGTGGGCAGCAGTGTATGCGTTCTATTATGCAACAGAGG